TTTTTTCGCCAACCCAATAGGCCTTGTTCAATGAGCAAGGGAACTATAAGAGGGCGTATGTGGGAAAAGTATTAGAAACTAGATGTCGCTACGATATGTTCTTGTTTTCTCCATGACAACCCTTCCAGTTTTCTTACATGTTTAAAAGTAAATTAGTTTTCAAAACTCAATTAACAACTCATATTCTATTTGTACTTTTTCGTATTTGTATTGATATCTAAGTTTCGAGCTTTTCAAATTTCAGTTTTTTAATATGTTAGTTAAAATGAACGGAAATGACTGTCTTTGTTCCATTCGTTTCCTGCAAAAATCAACTTTTGCTTGCGCCGGATGAAAAGGGGCGCCGCGGCCTGCGGCGCCCCTTTTCGTCCGGCGCCCCTAAGCGGTCGCCCAACTGCGCCCTACCCTAACGCCGCTACTGGGGATGCGTGATTGGGCCTCTTCACTTCATTGCTTATGTCAATGACATGAACAACGTAATAGAGCATGGAACTTCATATCAGTATGCCGATGACACATGTATTATCATAGCTGATCGTGATGTTAATTCTGCGTTAGTCAAAATGTAATCGGATTTTGATCGACTGAATAAATGGTGTCATGTCAAAAACCAAACTGATACCAGTCAAAGGTTGAGAGTTCATGACCACTCATGTCTTAAATACATATTATGTTAATGTCAGTGGCGGACTAAGGGAGGGGCGGAGTTTTAGCAGGCGTCTCGAACTTGCTACTATATCTGCTAACATATATAGGGAAAGAACGACAATCTATTTAATTCCACGTTTACTTAATAACATACAACAACCTTTATTACAAAGCATTACCAAAACAAATCTCAAATGTAAACTTAAATCATATGTTTTGCACAACCTGTAAGTAGATGATTTGTTAAAACCAGTCTTGGGGTATGCGTGAATTTATACCCTGTGTTGATGCAATACAATATTTGTAGGGTTACGCTTACCTACCGATAAGAATTTTGTAACCGTTGTGTATGTTTGTGTAATTACCTATAGCTCTGTTCATATCACACTAATGTATTTTCACTTCAATTTAAAAAGACAAAATATAGATTCGCACAACACTTACACAATAGTTGTTACTAGTGCATGTTTGATGTGTTTTTAAGGTTTTAATTGTAAAGTTAAAATATTGCTTAAAGTGGATCTTTCAAATATTTATTCATGTACAACGCGATTGTACACAGAAAGTGCATCCCGGACAAACCTTCGTGGTTTTTGGTTTGTACTAATATAAATTGTAATGTTAATGGTATATATAATAAATAGAAAAAAAAGATAACAGGAGTTAATGTTGAGGAGTGGCGGCTCGCTACGTCACAGCTTTGTAGAAAAATTATCAAAGCATGACGTCATGTGACATTTTAACTCAAAGTGGCGATACTTAATTTAATGATGATAAAAAAAATGCGTGTTTAATATTTTTCAACAATCTATCTGACGGACACACAGACAAAAATTAGTCGTCATCCCTATTGATTAATTGTTAATTGCAATATCCAAACGCCAGAGTGAGTGAGACGGACATCTAATGCTTTGTATTTTAAACAATACAACACAACACTAATCGTACTTTCGGTCTGTGCGCTAACGAAGAATCACCATAAATAACACACACGGATAAGATAATATAATATTTTCATATTCAGTTTCGTAAGATGCCAAACGATACTAAAGTATATATTAATATAATGCCACAAAAGATTATAGCATTTATTAGAGCATTTATATTATAGTATCTTAAACTTAGAACATATTATTTTAAGATATTTTATCAAGAAATATTAACCGTCTGTTACGAACTTTAGGGTAAAGCACAAATACTGAAGAGCTCAGTCTGCAAGACGTTTCCTTCACTGTTATAGAATTTGATGTGCTATGAGATCTTCAAATACTGTCAAATATTACCTTTGTATATTAATAAAGTGATATAATAAAGATACCATACCTATTCTTTTATTATTTTAAGGAATTCTTCGATATATATTGTTTTATTTATTAACTAGCTGTGCTCGCGACTTTGTCTGCGTGGGAAAGTATATCAGGAGAATTGTTTCTTTTCTATGATTGGGATCGAATCGAGGAGGATCAATGGTCCATAACGCACTACGCGGGCTTAATATGAATTGGTGGGTGTTAACCACTATTGATGCAGCCAGGACCAACGGCTTAACTTGCATTCCGAAGCACGAAGTAGCTCAAGATAATAATGTTTTGGTCATCCACCCTATGAACGGCCCTTACGATAGTTATTTTTCCATATTTTTTCTCACTTCTCTCTCTGCTCTTGCGCCTGACCATTTCTATCGTACATTAGTTATACTCATATTAGTGATATTTACGCTGATTCAACTATACTTCTTATGATTTTGATCTTTTTAAAATGTTATTTGTTTATTTGTATGTGCAACCTATTATATTTTGTCATGTTTTCCATCCAATGCTAGGTTGCCTAAAAGAAATCGCTGGCTACCGCTCAGTTTGTCTTTAGTACATAGTTATGAATGTTATGTATGAAAAATATGTATGTATGTGCGTGTCATTTTCTTGTTGTGCAATAAAGACTTTACTTACTTACTTAACCGTATCGTAAACCGAATGCGCTAAGCTCCCATCTTAAAAAGAGGAAAAATTTCATTGTTTATTTGCATTGAATGGGTTCCGAAACCACTTAACCAATTTTGAAAATTCTTTTGCCTGCGGAAAGTTACTTCATATTCAGGTGACACAGGCTATAATTTGCGCGGCTACTTAAGTTAAATAGGTACGCTTGTGGGGTACAGGCAGGGTGAAGGCAACACCGATTGGCGATAGTCGAAACTACTTTCTCGCTCTCTATACTGCAAAGTTCGAGCTTTTTAAGAACTCGACCGCATTTCTCTATCAAAGGAAGTTTCAGACACAAACAATACTGCATATGTGTTACGATCAGCAGTTAGACGTGCTAAGTTATCTTCAGGAGTTGTCTGAGATCAAACGCTTGCTGTATGAACTCTGACAGCTCAACACATTCACTCGACGGAAATCGTGTTATGTGTGTGCAGAGGTGGCTGTCAATCACCTCTGCTAGCCACGAAGATGTAAACCTAACCTAATAAGAATTTACTATCGAAAACCTTATATGTGCGTTCACTGTAGACTACTCGATGCTAAATTTCAAACATATTTTTATTTATATTCATATAAATTATAATTTTACAGACGATGTAATTTTTCAATAGGTAGCTCGGTAGTGCAACGTATAAGCGCCGCTACCCGCAATTGATGTTGTTAAGCAATTTTCGCATGGGTTGTTCACGGGATGGGTGACCAAAAATTAATAAATAAAGGCCTGAGCCCTCTTTTACATGGGGATGTAAAAGAGCTGACGATGATAAACAATATGTTATTAAAAAAAAAAGAACTAAATGTTAACGGAAGGTTACCACTTAGACTAAATGTTAACGGAAGGTTACCACTTAGATTAAATGTTAACGGAAGGTACCACAATACAAAAGTGAATACTGCGTTAAAATCGGTTCAGCCGTTTCTGAGATTAGCGTGCACAAACCGACAACTAGACAAACAGATAAAAAAATAAAATTAATTGTTTTGCGTTCTGTTTCGTTTATAAATGCCTCTCATAACAGTATATTCATATATCTTCAATATTCAGACATCGATGGGTTACGTTTTTATTATAGTATAGAACACAGAACAGATAAAAAGGTAGAACGATTAAGTGGGCGGGGTCGTGCGACCATCCATATGCCCAAAACGGTCATATGAACGTCACGTTCATATGCATCTCTATGCAGATGATTTGCAAATCTATTCACAAGCCACTGTCGACCAACTTCCTCAAGCCATTAATGATATGAATAATGAGTTTAAATCGATTTTAAATGGAATAAGTCATATGGTTTAAAAGTAAATCCTGACAAGACTCAATTTATCATTTTTGGATATTCCGCGCAGATTAACAAAATCGATTGGACAATACTACCAGCAAACATATTTGATAATATAACATTAACAGCCAGTGACAGAGTTAGAAATTTTAATTTTAACATACAAGAAATGAGTCATAAAATGTTTGCTGCAGCTGGATCTTTAAAAAGATTATGGAACTTTCTACTAATAGTCACTAAAACTGCGCTGGCACAATCTCCTTCCTATACCTAATTAGATAAAAGATTATGTCGATGTCAGCTCTCTTGACCTAACCGAAGAGCCATTAAATAAACTTGAGCAAATTCAGAATTTCTGTATCAGACTCATTTTTGGATCCATTTTCACCAGTTTACCTTGAGGAACGCTTCACGTTCCTTCACGATACGCACGCACGAGTTTTAAGGTCGTCGTAGAATCTGAGATTGGCAATACCAATGCATTCAAGTAAATTTCTGGACAAGTCTTTTACATTACAAGCTTCTCGCCTCTGGAATGCATTGCCGGAGGATATTAGGCGTGCACAAACCATTAACAGTTTTAAAATATTAGTTATGGAGCACTATCACTATGTATGCTTATGTATTTATAGACAATTTATCTGCTTAACTATTAATGATTTTCCTAATAATAGGGACTTCTTAATGCACCATAGTATCCTGTATATTATGTTAAGGTTGCCTGGAAGAAATTGCTTTCTAGCAATAAGGCCGCCAAGTGTCTGTTACATTATTATGTACTGTTCGTTTACTTATGGTATGTACAATAAAGACTGTTCATTTATTGAGTATTTACTGTAAAGAGTTTCATTATTATTATTAAAGTTAATAAATAACAAATGCACATTTTAAACTAATTAGATAAAAGATAAAATATGATAATATAGGACGACGCGGGCGAACCTTCTTGCGATAAACTAGTATTAATACAGAAGTATAGATTTGTATGTAATGTAGTCAATTGATTAATTATAACATAAATTATAAGCTAGTACTTTCTAAAAAGTCTACGATATGATATCGATAAGTGCTCTGAATATTCAGACATATCGAAAAACAATCGTTATCAAATTTGAACGGTTTATTATCAGTAAGAACAAACGATAGTGGAGTTATCTCATCGTTTTATTAAAGTGTGGACGCCCTTTGTGCTGTGTAAAAATATATAAGGATTATTAAAAATGACGGACACTGGAGCCGTGACTTCAGCGGTCGCGCAGCCGAAACAAAACATCAAACTAATCAACAAATCCGAAGCGGAATACAATATGAAGTCTATAAGGTTTCTTTTGTTGACAATAACGAGTATGTTCCTGGTAAGTCTACTGATGAAAAAGTCAAAAGGAGAGATAAACAAAATTCAGTCTGTGGACAAAATATTTACTTTACACTAGGATAGGATATTTATCATGAGATAACGAAATTAATAACTATAGAGACTAGACAAAGACATCAGCGTGAGCCGTTTGCTCCACTCATTTCACCCTACTACGCCTCTGGTGATGACGCATTTGGTTTCAAAATAAAAACATATAAATATCCCTACACATTCATAATTAAAACCTTTCAAATGGTAAAAGAATTATTGAAAAGTCTTATTATGGTTCCGAGATCACTCTCCATATATGTACATAAAAACTCACAAATTTAGCTTACTTGTTTATAATTATACTTAGTCAAATATTTAATTAGATATAAACTTATCTAATTTTATAATTGTCATGCATGACGAATTGTTGCTATAAATACACTGCAATACAGAAACTTATATGATTTTAATAAAAAATATATAACAGGTATTCTCGCCATAGATATTTCTGCCGTAGACCGCGATGGCATTAGACGTTCCATTTACTATTAATGTAAGTGAAAGAATTATTAACATCGATCCAGTAATTTCGGAGCCTATTCGATGCAAAAAAAAACAATCAAATCTTTCCTCTTTATAATTTTAGTCTAGATAAATTCAAAGGATATATAAATAAAATATACATAGGTATATATACTCAGTTAGGCTGACTGATAACGCCGATGAATTAAGGTTTTAAGATTAGTAAGGTACTTAGACATTTTAAATGTTAAATAGTATTTCTCATTTTTAGGATCATTTTGAAAACATAAAATATTCTTGAATTATGAAACCTTTGCTGATGTGATGTACAAAAGGGTTTGGTAGGGCCTAGGACATTACCCTGAGGTACACCCCTTCAACAAGGGTTAAGCTGTAGAGACAATGCTATACTGGCAAATATTCTTAATGAATAATGCTTAAAAAATCACTCTGTCCCTGTCTATGCGGGCACATCCTCCTCAAGGTGTTTTTGTTTCTATAATAAATACAAAATTCTTGAACATAAATCTGTATCCATATCGCTGATGATGATGACTTCTGTAAGTACCATAATGTTCCCCCTACATCACTTGTATCATAAGAGTAGATCACACAGGCTTATCACGGCTTGGTAGGTATGAAGATTCACGTTTATTTTAGAGGTCAATCTTTTAATTGATATTTTCCTCAGGTGATCGGCGGTTTGATGATAGTGTTGGGTATATCGGTATACTCGCATTACCACAGTTTCTCGTTCCTATACGAGAGCGCACGGCACGGACGTTTCCTTACGCCATCCGTCATGTGTGTGTTTATCGGTCTCGCTCTCTTCGTCACATCCTTCTTTGGCTTCTTCGGCAGTCTTAAAAGGAGTACGTGTTTGGTGAACTTGGTAAGTATGTTAGTTGGATAAATCTACTCATTGAAATGAAATGAAAATATCTTTATTCAAGTAGGCTTTTTTGAATCGTCCAAAAAATTTTTTTTCCCTACCACTTGTTCAGGACGTCTTTTAGCTGACAAGAAGAACAAGCGAAAGAAACTTACCAGCTCTTTATCTTAAGTAATGACAGTTACATAAATCATGTCATTACCGAAATAATATGTATTATCACAACAATAAATACAACTTTCATAGTCTGTAGGACATAGGTTGAACATATAATTAATCTTTATAGAACAAAGCGAAGGCTATTAATTCCATGCATTGCGATCCTTAAAATAATCATCAACTTTATAATAGCCTTCACTCATAAGTATGTTCTTAATATGTATTTATTTATGGGTAGGTCGATTACATTTTGTGGAACTTTATTGAACATAGCAATGCATTTACCCAGAAATGACCCTCTGGTTTTCTGAAGTCTGAAGCTTGGAAAGCCAAGTTTATCGATTTACAAAGTTATCGATTTAAAAATAGAATTAATTGTTATTTAGTAGAAATATTCGACGAATAATCTTTAAGTTTTTATGAAGTTTTAGTCACATACAATTTAATTTTTTATCTAATTGTCTCATCCCCTATTGACTACGATTTGGCTTACATAATAGTTGACGAGTGGGGTACGCTACGTCACAACTGTAAAGAAAATGTGCAAAGGTGTTTTATTTATTGATTAGGAAACAAAAGGGCAACATCCATCTTCTTGAATTTTAAGGACTTGAAATTTGAGGCAGCCATCATTTATACTTATACTGACCGGATGCCGACCGTTCGGTAAACCTAAATATGCTTTCTTAGGAGTCCAACCTGTGGTTTTATTTACTTTAATGTACGATAGGCTCGGAGAAAAGATTCTCAACTATATTATTTTCTGAGGTAACATAGTGAACTTAAGTCAGGAAAGCAGATAAATCAGGAATGCGATAAAACAGCTTCGACTAACCGTCGGACGCAACGCTTTGTTATAGAATAGAGGTTTATTCAAATAAATCTACTTCAAAAGCTAATAAAGATTTTATTTCATTGAAGCTCTATGCTGTGACATCGATGCGATCGACGTAGACTTCCGAGGTGGTAATTTGACAGAATAGATTCTCTGGTAACAATTTTCTAATATTGGTGTTGTGTCTTTCTTACAGTATGCCCTGATTCTTTTGAAAATTTTAATTGTCAATTTGGTAGTAGTGATTTTGGCTTTTACTAAAGACTTTGATACTATCAGAAGCTTCATCCATGTTCCTGTCTATCAATATGGCAACGATGCTGAAGTTCAGGCTGAAATCGATGTAATGCAAGTCTCGGTATGTATCAACAAATATAGATTTAAAAAAGGAAAGAATATAAATTTTTGATTTTATTTATATTTGATAGTTGTTTTAGTATATTAGGTCCCTACCTATGAAATTGGTGTTTGGTATGGGAGGAATAAAAAGATGAATATTTTTTAATACGAGTATAATACTTATATTTATTTAATCAAAGTATAAACCATTTTGTTATCTATACTTTTGCCTTCTCATAGGTAGTTTATTGATCTCCTTACTAAAAAAACATTCGGATGGGAATCAATAAAATCTTTGAAGGCAAATTGCACTGCCCCACCGGAGTTGATTTTTTTCCCTTGCAAGAAATTATGCAAATTACGCTATGCGCAGGATTTGGCTGGCATGCCATCAGGGTCCAACCATTGCGCTGAGCGCTTCTGATTATCGTAGAGAATCCATTTTTCATCACAGGTAATGATTCGATTTAAAAATCCTTCATTATTGTGCTGGTTAAGTAATATAACGCAGCAGTCGAAGCGCGTTTGCCGGTTTGCTTCACTCAATTCATGAGGTACCTTTCAAGCTTTTTAATCTTTCCAATTTGCTTCAAGTGGTAAAACAGTTTTATCACTAACACTGCAGCCTGCAGCTAACTCGGACGTGGTTTGCGATGGGTCCGCTTTCACAATAGCCTTCAATTCTTCATTATTAACTTGGGTCTCCAGCCGTCCACTGAGCTTGTTCTGCAGGTCGAAATTTCCAGAACGAAAACTTTGGAACCAAAACGCACTGTGTTTTCTTTTGCGACACAACCGCCATACACATCATTAATCCTTCGAGCCTTTTCCGCAGCACTGGTACCACGGTGGAACTCGTACTCGTAAATAACACGATATTTTAAGTTGTCCATTTTTATACTGGGTAACTCTATGAATTTGGAATTCCCAACCAAGGAGGAGAAATTTGTGATTAAAGTGGCCAGTACGACAAAACGCCAATTTCATGTGTAAGGACCTAATATAATGTTACGTTCAAAGATCGAAACCTACCTAATTAAGAATAAGTCTAACCACCCTATATCGACCATACAAGTCGTTTTTCTTAGGTTTTTTAAAATTTTTTGTCGATATTCTAGTTGAACTGTTGTGGGAGTGAATCTTTCCTCGATTATGGAGACGTCGAGTTCACAAATAACCAAACGACTGTGATGGTGTCTCAAGAAATGAATGGTGAGCTGGTGACCTTGCGAGTGCCCGCCAGCTGCTGTGCGGTATCTGGCGAGACTTATTGCGTTCGTCTCCGTGGCACCAGCTGCAGAAATGCTCTTACCATAACAGTTATACAAAACGGGAATATTTTAGGAGTCTTGGGTGTTTCAGTCATGTTTATAAAGGTAGGAATTTCCATTAATTTACTTAATTTAAAATTAATTTTAGGACCTGTGTTTAGCGACTTTTTATACGAAGTATCAATTAAGGTTTGACATATTGTAGTAGCCTGACCTTCTGGCGTGTGTTCATAAATTTAATTGCCCCACCGCCGACGTCAGGTAGATAGTATAATGGCAAAATGCTAGTAGTTAAGACTATTGAGATGCGATTAAGTAAACACTTACAGAATTGGCCTTCTGGAGAGGTTGAAACCGTGAGAGGTGATACGAAGTACTCCGGGTCTAGTAGTTTAGTCTAGTAAGCCGGGTCTAGTTGTCTAGTCTAGTACGCCGGGTCTAGTTGTCTAGTCTAGTACGCCGGGTCTATTTGTCTAGTCTAGTACTCGAATAATTAACTATTACTCTGATTGATGTTGATAACTAAGAAAGTTTAAATACTCTCCGTATACATATTTTACTCTCCGATCCGCATTGGGCCATGGAGGGTCATGGCATGGCCCATCGTTCTTAACCATAATAGACCTGAGCTCCTGCAGCGGGACTGCAAAAGGGCTGATGATGATGAATTTTATACATTGATGTATGTACGTAAATCATGAGTGAATACTCATAAAGTGTTAAAATTATTCCAGTTGCTGGGTATCATATTCGCGTTGCTACTGGCCCGTTGTATACGCAAGATGAAGAGCGAACGTGCTATGATGGCTTGGAAGATAAGGGAGCAGCTGATATTGGGACGACGGGAAGAAGAAAGCAGAACAAACAATTCTCTATATATTAATCCACCAGAGTCGAGCGTGGCTTAGATCTAAAATATGCAGTTATTAAAGATGGTATAACATTAAAATAGTTTCATTATCTAATTTACATTATATCCAATACTTTAAATCTAAACTTTTGCATAGAAAATTAATTAAAGGAGTATCTCTAAGATAAAACACACAAATATTTGTTTATATTAAATATTTTTAAGTATTATGTGGTACTACTACTAGTGTTTATTTACTATGTGGTAAATTGTGAATGCAATACTTTCAAATAGTTGGTAAACATTCCATATAGAAAAGGTATATCAAGCTGAGATATCAACATCACAATAATATTGTATAAATAGAAATATACATGCATAAAAAACGATCAAGAGTTAAAAAGTAATCAATTAAAGTATTATGATAAGCACATACCAACATAGTTAACTTTATGTATTGTTAATATGTCTTAACAAAATAAAGTGTGATTTACTAGTAGTTTTGTCTGTTTCTTTCTAAGGCTTTGATTACAAATAACTGCTAAGGTGTATTCAGTATCTGAGGCCTTTTGCAACCCAGAGGGGCAAGTTTGCTTCCTCTGCTATAAAACAATACAATTATTCTTATTATTTAAATATCAAATTAGAATACTTGATACCGCCATCTCTTCACAGCCAATAGGAGATACATTGTAAACAACTAAGTAAATATGGATATTTTATTTTTATTATACAATGTTGAACTCATAATAAAGGCATTTTTATATCTTATCTGTTCTACAGATATCAGATATCTTTTTTTAAATGTACTTATTTACATATCAAATTATTAAATGAAATAAAATTAAATATACATAAATACACTAATCTGCAACAATTACCAGCTGATTAATTAAGGATTTTTATCTTCATTTGTTTGTTTAATCTGATGGTGCCAGAATATTTTAGCTCTCTCTCTAACTTCATTACCAATAGTCTCATCTGATCCATTCTGCAAGTAGGGCGGTGTGAACTCTCTATATGCTATACATACTCTTCTTGCAGAAATATCTTCTCTCAACACAGAGTGTTCCCAATGGTACCTCGGCTCACCGTATATGACTAATAGTGATCGTCTGTTGAGAACAGTATAAGTCATAATCTTATAATAATAAATAATAATAATAAAGCTGTTTATTTCCAACTTGATAGCTTATTTTCTTTACAATCCAAATGTCATTAGTAACATTGTTAGTAGTATATTTATAGACTAGTTGTTAGTAGTGTTAGTCAAGTCAATCTTTAAGTTGGACCCCTCTTAGGGTGAAGTCATAATCTTATAGCCTTCAATAAATTAACTGTTTGGCAGCTGTATAGATACATGTTTTGTTAAAATAAACCATGTTTTCTAATTCATGAAAAGCAGTTTGAGCATTTTTTTTTAATTGGAAGTATTATGAGTAGAAATGAGTATTTATAAATATGAATGAACACTATATTGTATACCACAGAGAAAAACATGAATACAAGCATAAATTTACAGAACAAACAAATGTATGTTGGACCGGATTGACAATAATCACACATTTGTTTAATCATCTCTATGTGTATTGGGTTAGTTTGTTGTTGGTCACTCAGTCAGTCATCAATGTTTAATGATACTGGAACTATTTTTTACTTTTTGTTAGAATTTGATTTTAGATAAGTTAGGCATTGAAAAAGGCAGAGATTATTAAATTTTTTCCTACATTCCAACAGTATTCAAATATTTGAAGTCTGAGTCAATTTCAATTACTACCATAACATTTTAGTTGAAATTAAGGCATTTTTAAAAGCTCATACGTACCTCGGCATTGGTATTCTGATTATAGCATCACTATTACATACAGGTTTACTGATTTGTAATGCTGTTAAATTATCTTTGTTACTTGTAATAATACTTCCATCATGATTGAGCACAGGTTCATACTTGTCAGCACAAGGCAAATTGTATTTCTTACTATCACCAGTGAATTTTGTCATGGTGAGTACACTATCTGATAGACAGTTTACAGTAACAATTCTTTCTCCCCATATCCAACAATCATCTATATGTGGGTCAATAGAAGCACCTTTGCTGGGATCATATTCAAGAGAACACTGCTCAATCACTTGGTAACCTTTCAATAAGCCTACTGTTTCAAATCTCTCTTGCAAGTATTTAGAAAAAGCAGGGAACCCATTAAACTGTCCAACGGTTACCTTTTTCTTTTTAAAGTTTGTTTTTGGACCAAAATTTTGTTTTCGCCTACCGCTTTGTGATATATCCCAGGGCATTTCATCAATATTTCTCATCAATTCGATTTCTTCCCTTTCATTGATGAAATCCAGCTGTATAAAAACTCCCGGGTATTCTATAGATTGTCCATGGTGATGTGGATGTTGTTTATATAAATCCAAGTCCCAGCCCTGCCAGGCTTTATTGCAAAACGGGCAATAAACATAACCTTTACTTTTGTCCAATTGTAATTGGAGTTTCAGGTTTTCAGCATTATAATGTGTTTCGCAAATTAAACATGTTCTACACCCTTTACAGCCACATGGTCGAGGTTTTGTCATTTTTGTTTGTTTTTATAAATCTACGACATCCAAAAATATTTTACAACATCAACCAAACAAATCAAATCCGCCACCGACCACCCACAGATTATATATAGGGATCGAAAGATACTTTCGATACTTATAACGTATCAATTCCTTACACTCAATAGTCGATATTTTAGTACTTGAAAATCAAGGTATCGAGAGGATCGCGATATCAACTAGTCCATTTTTAAAATATCGAGTACTTTCTGTCACTACTTAAAACAAATTACTTTCCATGGTTAAAATGTTTACGGTGATGCACCCAACGATTTTTAACACATTGCATCCCTAGATTTGACTTGAAAATCTTGAACGCAGCGCAGCAGAAAGGAATGAATGAATGATTTTTAGTAACGGGTTTTCCCAGTAATTACGAACGGTTAGTTTTTATTTTTTCTTTAAATTTAATGCTTATGTTCACATCAAACTCAATCTTTATTTAACACTTTTGATTTAAAATATCAAATAATAAATAAAGCCATTACCATTACTTATGTTAAGATATTTTCAACGTTTAATTGATTATAAAATACAGGTGATTTTTAAAATAATAATACAGTTCAATAGGTACAGTCCAAGTATTACTATAAATCCCAGAAGTTGGATAATTGGAATGAGGACTGGGTTTTAAGTAAAAAATAAAACTTCTTTGTCCGTCAACCAGATAATAGAAAAACGTTAGATACTTAAGTACATATTTATTTGCTTTTATTAAACTATAATGGGGGCAATGGGGGCTCGCTACGACACAACTATGTAGAAAATTTAGAAAGGTGAAACGTCTACAATGTATTGATTACGAAAAAAAAAAATCGTGTTTAATATTTTTCAATAACCTAATGGATAAAAAACAACAATAATTAATTATCATAGATATTTTTCAGATTTTCCTGTAAAAACTAAATTTACCAATGTTTACTTGCTAAAATCCAAACTGTCCCACCATCGTTGGTCATTCAATTCGAACCTTTAAATCTTAGGCTTTACATCTGTGACATGGCAAATGTAAAGAAAAAAGATTTAATTGTTTGTTTACTTGTATTAAAATAGGCTCCAAAACTATTGGGTCGATTTTAAAAATTCTTTCACCTTGGAGAAGTTATATAATACGCGGGTGATGTAAGCTATAATTTACGCGGACGAAGTCGCGAAAAAACAGCTAGTAGTTAAAATAATGCCGTGATCATGCCTCCAATAAAGTATCGATACTGAGTAGTATCGATACTTTTAGATTGATACTTATCGGATATCGATACCTAGGGTCGATACCGAAACCGATATTCAGTATCGTGAACAGAGGCTGAAACTTCGAATCTTAATTATATTATTTCACCAACCGAGTGAAGGAAGTGAAGCGCTGTCCTACACACGTGCAAAAATAACGATATGTCCAAATATCGATTATTTTTAAAATTATAAATAATATTTTTAAATATCTTTATCCTACAAAATCGGTATTTAATTTTGAATATTAAATAAAATATCTTTTTATTGTTATATTTATTTATATTTTAGCATAATGACTTGTATCATTATTAGCATAAGCATATTATCGTCCTTCCAAACTCGTCATTTAATTTTGAGCATCGGATGGCGCCTAACTACATATTTTTGAAAAAAAATCGGAACTGAAAATTAGTACTTCTAACTAACTGTGCCAGATCCGGGTATAAAGGTTTATTCAGGTTAATTTTATTGTAATTATTATATTTGATCAATTTTGCATTCACAATGGTATACTGAAAAATATTCTAAATGCAAAATGCTTAGAAAATTCACTTTGTTCCTGGCACTCTGAGATGGGACTCGAAACCGTTACCTTTCGCAATCCAGGCGACTGCTTTAACCACTGAGCTACCCAGGGCCTAACAGGACTGACGAATTTTTCAAGCACTTGTAACTTTTTCGCTACTAACGAGCGTATTTTCGTCAATGTTCAAACATCAAATCCAAACAGCCGAATGAAATATTTTTTACAAATATTCAAAATTTGATTTGAAACATATTAATTTAAAACATATTTTAATTTTGAGAATGTATACTTGTTTTCCCACAATTCCGCCCTCGTTAATCAAAGCGTATGTCTCCCACGCACATATGATGTAGATTCTCGTAGGTAAAGAATTTTCAAAACTGATACAATAGTTTCAAAGTATATTTAATGCAAACAATCATTTAATCCTTACACTTTACAATAGGAATGAAAAGTCAAAAGTTCACTAGAACGAACGAAGATAGATCCATATTTTTTTTACCCCTTTATATTAATACAAATTAATGGAATTGATTTCATGTTATCGATATATTTTTTTATTCATCGCTAGAAATTTCAATGAATATTATCGACATCTCAAGATTTGGCAGTATGGCTAAGTTTCTTCGCCTGTCCCATAGTCGAAACAAATTACTACTACTCGTTAAAGTCAAAGAGATCTTGGTTCATAAAGCCTGATCTTTAGTATTTTTGGTTTTCTGTTTTACAAGAATGCAGAGAGGTCCACAGAAAAAATAGATCACCTATTCGCGTTTCCACCCTAATTTCTCATGTCGATCCAAACCCCGTATTATTTTAACGAATACCTATTGTTCACTTTTATGACACTTCGTAATAAGTAACGATCAGTTGCACACACATAAATTAAATTTTAATAACGGTTTTAAGCTTTAAATGTTCTAAATCTATACTTTATAAAAAGAGGAAAATTTGATTGTTTGTTCGTATGTTTGATTATCAAACCACGACCACTTTGTAAAGAGTGAACGACTAAAGAGGACATGAATCTGTTATCTAACACTAGGTATTCCTTCCCACTGAACTATCTAAAACATGATTGTAGTACATCCTGTCCTACACTCGATGCACTGGCTCGACAACTCACAATGTGCGCAGGCGGTGCGTCCACTCTCACCTGTGGCTCGCGCGGTACCCTGCCACACGCCCCGCCACACCGTAAGCACGAGACAGTGTATATAGCTATTGCTATAGTTTTAGCTCACAAACACTACATCTCTTTCTTATTAAAAACTTTATTATTAATTTGCAGATAGGTAAACATTTGAGTCACATTCTAAATTAAATATTTTTAATTAGTAAACACAAGCAATTTAAATTGTAGTACTTAATATTTCTCATTAACTTCAGGGTCTTCTGTTTCATCTTCTAGATCTTCACTAATAGCTTTCCATTGCCCTTCTACTCTTTTTAAGTGCAATATATTTATCCTTAAGGTTTGTCCAGTTTCATCATTTCTGATGGTAACGTCTTCATTGTTTGTCTTCTCCACAACATGTGGTGTTGGGTTATAGTTTAAGGTAAGCTTATTTGTCCTGTTAATTTCTTTTACATACACTTTGTCTCCTTCAATCAAATCTGAATCCTTTGCTCTCCTCCTTTTATCTCCATATTCCTTTCCTTTTTCCTTTCGTTCTTGGTCCTCGCCCCTTACATCTGTGTCGTCTTCTTTGTTACTTATGTCTTGCAATGTTGGGATTTTGTCTCTGTTTAGTCTTCTGAAAAATAATTCCGTTGGCGTTTTTCCCGTTACCGAATGCGGTGTTGAATTGTACATCATGAGGTAATCATTTAAACACTCTTGTAAGTCTTTCTTTTCGAGTTTTCCAATCTTTAAGCGCTTTATTATATCACGGTTTTGCCTCTCTACCTCACCATTTTGCTGAGGCCAGTAGGGGATGGTATTAAATAGTAGTATGTTACACTCCTTACAGAATGTTTTAAATTCGTCGCTTACAAACTGCCGTCCATTGTCGGCTGTGATTGAAGAAGGATAACCCAATCGGCTGAACATTTCTTTTAATAATCTAATAATAACAATGCTGGTAATATTTTTTGTAATTTTTATCTCTTTGTAGCGGCTGTAATAGTCCACTACTACTAAAAGATATTCACCATTAGGTAACGGACCAAGTAAGTCCATGGCAACATCAACCCAAGGTGCTTCCGGCAGCTTGCGACGCTTCATAGGTGTAGGGGGATTTGGCAACCCGACCAATGTACAGCCCTTACAACTTTTCACCAAGGTCTCGGCATCTCTATCGATTCTTGGCCACCATACTTAGCACCTTAGCCGACCATTCATCGCTACGATCCCTGGGTGTCCTTCGTGCGCTGCATCTAAAACACTCTTTTGAAGATTACCCGGTATGACTAGCCTGTTACCCCTTAAGAGTACGTTATCAAAAAAACACAGTTCATTTTGAAATATTTTATATCCTTTTACACTATCATCCCACTCATTATTATAAATGCCTTTTTTCACTTTGAGTATTTCTGAATCCTCTCCAGAGTTGATCTTAAGTAACTGCTCGAGGTCTAGCACTCTCCACAATCTGATGGATATATTCGTCACTTTTGGTCTTTGGGGGATTTACATTTTTACATAAACGCGACAATGGATCAGCTATATTAGATTTACCAGGCCTATACTTAATATTGTATCGGTAAGCCTGTAGCCTCAATACCCATCGCTCAATCCTAGCGCATGGTTTTGATTTAGCTCCAAATAAAACCTCCAAGGGCTTATGGTCCGTGTAAAGGTTGAACTCTTTCCCAAATAAAAATACATTGAAGTGTTCAATAGCCCAAACCAAGGCTAGAGCCTCTTTTTCAGTTTGGCTATATCTTCGTTCACAGTCTGTCAACGTACGGTTTCCATATGCAATAATCCTGGGACCCTTGGTATCAATTTGTACCAAGACTGCGCCTAATCCGACCGGGCTAGCATCAGCTATGACTTGAGTTTTATCATTAAGATCGTAATAACCGAGTGTTTGAATTTTTGTAAGTGTATTTTTTAATGAGGTGAAAGCATTATCTTGCTCAGTTGTCCAAAACTCTTGTATATTTGCATTTTTGCCAAACTTCTTTCTCAATAGCTGTTTTAATGGCTCTGTTACTGTAGCCATATTAGGTATCCATTTGTTAATATAATTTACAAGACCTAAAAAGCTTTGTAACTCCTCTATGGTTTTTGGAACC